TTGGTATGTTTTGTAATTTTGAGCGGGAAACTAAATTTCAGTGTCTTGTGAAGTTGTTCTTCCATTAACTAGCCATCGCAAACAAACAAGACTATTTTCAAGCCTGTTGTGGATTTTCCAACTGTCATTAATCACTTTCCCATCAAAAAAAAATTTTGAACGACTCCCTGCTGTGAGAGTGAACTAAACTACAAAAACTCGCAGTACCCACCTCCTTATCTACAACAACGTGATTTGTTTTGATACAACAATAACAAATTTACTATTTTCCAATTATCTCTTGTCAAAAAATATTTTTTTAATAGTGTCATCTTCTGTATACAACAAGAATAATATTATCTATTATATACATTTCACTATTCTAATATACTATTCTAATATACTACTACCACTACAATTAGTACTATTAAAAAGTAATATAACACAATAACAAATAACAAACAAATAACAACAAACAAATAACAATAATAATAATAATAATGGGTTTATGTTTTGGTAAAACTGATGGTTCACAATCATCATCATCAAATAATCAATCTTCCAATCAAGATGGTAAAAATAAGAATAATCAACGTATCAATGATAATGATCCAAATAATGAAGGTGGTGATGAAATGAATGAAAATGCTGATCCAAATTCAGGAAATTATGATGTAAAATTATTATTATTAGGATCAGGTGAATCAGGTAAATCAACATTTTTCAAACAAGTTCGTATTATATCACAAAGACCATTTTTAGAGAATGAACGTCGTCGTGTTAAAAATACAGTTCATTTCAATGTAGTTTCAAGTATGGCAGTAATGTGTCAAAAATTAAAAGAATTAAACTTGGAATTCTCAAGTGAAGAATTAAGTAAATGTGCAGAACGTGTATTACAATTAAGTAAGAATAGAGCATTCATGACATCAACAACAAGTGTTAAAGGAGGTGATCGTAATTTTTATACTGATGAAATTGCTAATGATATTTATCAATTATGGAAAGATTCAACTATTCAAAAAGTATTTCAAAATAATAGAAATGATGTTCATGTTTTTGATGGTGCTGAATATTTCTTTGAACGTTTAGATATAATTAGAAAAAATGATTACATTCCATCTGAGGAAGATTTATTATATTGTCGTCAAAAAACTATTGGTATTGTTGAAGTTTCATTCGATCATGAATCTTTAAAATTTAGTTTATTTGATGTTGGTATGTTTTTTTTAAATATTTTAATATTTTAATATTTTAATTTTAATATTTTAATTTTTAA